GATGCAGAAACAGAGGAGGATGCAGGAACAGAGGAGGATGCAGAAACAGAGGAGGATGCAGGAATAGAGCACAATGGATGGGCTCCTCTGGAAATGGTCGGATACTAAGACTCCAGTAGCAACAGGTGTAGTGAGGAACGTCCCAAAGGCCATAGAGACGTAAGTAGTAAATTCCAATTTCTACGTCAACCACACAATCTTATGCGATCACGGTAGAGACTTCGACGAAAAATCTATGTGAAAAATTTCTCAGGAAACAAAAACAAGACAAAGCAGACAAAACGTAACGCCAAATAATAACAATGATAATGATGGTAAAATTGATGATAATGATGATAAAAAAAAAAGTATTTGGTGTGGAAATATCAGTGTACCTTATACAAAAAGTACCCTCTTTGGAACGCTGAATCCTTCAGTGCTGTGATCTTTAACCGCTAGATACCTTGTGTAAGATATCTTAGGAAACTTGTTTTCGCAGCTTAAAAGATGACCGAGGTGTCGAATGTGTCGTCCGCCGGATGCGGCAATGAATGATAACATGATAATGATGAGAGTGATAATAAGCCCAGGACCTTGCCTCGAGATAATAATAAACCTACGATGTCAATACTTAGCGCCACTATAAACAATACTTATAAGAGCACCAAGATCAATCTTTGCCTCTGACGAACAGGTTTGAGACATCGGGAGTTAAAATCCAGTTATGGACGACATTAATCCACCCTGAATCACGTGGAATGTTCCAATCAGAAATGCTGCTGCAAATTACAAAATCTAATCCAATAGGTGTTCCCGTGACGTCTAGAGCCGGCCGGTGAAATGTGACATAGTAAAATGAGGTAATGGCAAACCATAATTTTTGAATTTATAGCCTTTCATTTGCTGCTATTTCAGTTCGATGGAACAACTTTTACCAAATTATCATCACGACACAGAATATCGAAGAAAATCCAACTTAAGTCGCCGAATGCCTAAGTACCACACAAGCTTGCTTAAATAAGCAAAAAAATCCTTTTAACTACGTTCTCCCACTAGTTGTGTAAGGACCTATATAAGCATTGAGTCTACACTCTCACTAGACTGTAACCATTTATGTATCATCTGAGAGTTAAGCAGCTATTACGATAGATTTATTCCTTTCTCTGATATAGAGTGCTTGATCCGTGAAAATCGGAAGCCTGAACCTATAACTGCTGCGAAAAATGTCTTAATAACTTTGTTCCTTCGTCAGTTTTGGGTCTTTGCCTATTGGTTTTGGGGTAATTTTGATCTTTTTGTCTGACTGGTAGTGAGCATGGAAACCAGCCTAGTTAATTGAATGAAAATAGGACTTACCTTGTGGTTACCGTAACCATGGCATGAGCTGCTAGTGCATCACAAATGAGCCGCCATACTCATCTTCTTCAGGTAAAGATTCTGATATATATATATATATATATATATATATATATATATATNCTTAAACCTGACGCCCAGCCAGTGTGCCTGTACACACCAAGAAGAGTTCCCCACCCATTACTCCCTAAAGTAAAGGAGGAATTAGAGAGGATGATTCAAGAAGGAGTCATCTCCCCAGTTACAGAGCCAACCGAATGGTGCTCCGGGATAGTCCCAGTCCTCAAGCCAAACGGAAAAGTTCGCATCTGCGTAGACCTAGTCCAACTCAACAAAAGCGTTAAGAGAGAGGTCCATCCAATGTATTCCGTAGATGAAAGCCTAGCAAAGCTGAGTAAAAGTAGAGTCTTTAGCAAACTCGACGCTAACAGCGGGTTTTGGCAACTCCCTCTCGACAAGGAGTCCCGCCTACTTACAACCTTCATCACGCCATACGGTCGTTACTGTTTTAATCGTCTTCCCTTTGGGATCACCTCAGCCCCGGAAGTCTTCCAGCGCACCATGACTAGTATCCTGGGGGACCTCAAGGGAGTCGTATGCCATATTGATGACACCCTTGTACACGCGGCAACACAAGCGGAGCATGATGAACGACTGAGAACTGTCCTTAAGCGGCTACAGGTAGCCGGAGTGACGCTCAACGAGAAATGTGAGTTTTCTAAACGTTCTGTAAAATTCCTGGGACATATTATCGACGAACAAGGCATCCGTCCAGACCCGGCCAAAACTGAAGCTATACGCAATTTCCCAGTCCCACAGAAAGTCAACGACCTCCAACGCTTCATGGGAATGGTCAATCAAATGGCAAAGTTTATACCAAACCTGGCCAATCTCAACGAACCACTACGACAACTCCTAAAAAAAGAGAACATGTGGAAATGGGATAAAGCCCAACAGCAGTCATTTGAAGGAATCAAGAATGAACTGACATCTGCAACAAACCTTGCCCACTACGACCCAAGTCGTCCTACAGTCATCTCAAGCGATGCCTCTAACTTTGGACTTGGAGCTGTTCTTCTACAGCTCCAAGAGGACGGTACCAGGAAGCCGGTGTACTATGCATCTAGATCCCTCTCAGAAACTGAGAAAAGGTACGCAGTCATTGAGAAAGAAGCCCTGGCTGTGACATGGGCTTGTGACAAGTTTTCCGACTACGTACTCGGAATGAAGTTTACAGTGGAAACGGACCACAAGCCGTTAGTACCCCTTTTCACTTCAACTGATCTCTCCAAAATGCCACCACGCATCTTAAGATTCAGAATGCGTCTCATGAAGTACGAACTCGACGTCGTATATGTACCCGGCAAGGAACAAATTACCGCAGACACGTTGTCACGCGCTCCTATCGAGAAGAATGTAAATGAGAACATAGATCTTGTGGAGGAAGTGGAAAGCTTCACACAACAGATCGTAGCAGGGCTTCCAGCAACGCCTAAGCGGCTGCAAGATATCAGTGAAGCCCAAGACCAGGATGAAGTATGCAGGATGATCAAGAAGTACTGCCTAGAAGGATGGCCGGCTTACATGCCAAGTTCTACCATACTCCGTCCATACTGGGAGAATAAGAAACATTTAACTGTGATAGACAAGATTCTACTATATGATGACCGTATTGTGATTCCAGCAGGAATGAGGCTGGAAATACTTGACCTCTTACATCAAGGACACCTTGGGATAACAAAGACGCAAGCACGAGGCAAGATGTCTGTGTGGTGGCCGGCGATTACTACAGCGATAACAGACATGGTGACGAAATGTTTTACGTGCGCTAAGAACAGACCAGTGCCCAAGGAGCCCCTGATGCCATCGTCATTCCCATCCAGGCCATGGGAAAGACTAGCCGCTGATCTCTTCGATCTAAAGGGAAAGAAACATCTTATTGTAGTCGACTACTACTCAAGGTGGACTGAAGTTAAAGCACTTCCCAGTGAATTGTCCGAGTCAGTAATCAAAGCCCTGAAAGAAATATTTTCAACTCACGGAATTCCAGACTTACTGGTGTCCGATAACGGCCCACAGTTTGCTTGTAAATCCTTCCAACTGTTTGCAAGTATTTACGGGTTCACTCATATTACTAGCTCGCCAACGTACGCAAGAGGAAATGGTGAAGTAGAGAGAGCGGTACGTACTGTCAAGGATATCCTGAAAAAGAACGATGATCCCTATCTCGGTTTTCTAGCATACCGAACAGCACCTCTTCACAATGGCCTGGCGCCATGCGAACTTCTGATGAACCGCCAACTCCGCACCCAGTTACCAACCTTCCCTGACAATCTACAACCAAACCTACGACTGAAAGACCTGGCAAAACTAGATGCAAAAGAGGAACTTTACCGCAGCAACCAGAAAAGCAACCATGACCGCAGATACAAGGCAAAAGACCTACCAGAACTTCAGAGCGGAGAGAAAGTTTGGATTCGCGATCAAGATCGGATGGGAAGAGTCCTAGCGGCATCTTCATCACCACGATCCTACATAGTTGAAACAGACAAGGGAACACAGCTTCGAAGGAACAGGGCAGCCCTAGTTTCAGCAGATACCTGTACAAAGACACCCGACACCCAACCAGAAGCTAACGTTGAGACAGAAATGCTGAGGAAAAAATCGAAAGTGCCCACCAGCAAAGACCTGACCACAGCTGCGATCAAGCCTACTGAGGGCTGCTACAAAGCTGAACCAGACGCCCCGAAAGTGCGCATGACGCGCTCAGGGAGAGTAGTAAAACCGGCGCAGAGACTTATTCAGGACACTTGAACGTTAAACATTTGAACATTGCCTTTGTTTACAGTAGACCCTTATACTGTTTGATATGTCGTTTATAATTGTCTGTTTGATTACTGTAAAAGCATTAAGGGGAGGTGTAGTATGGTATCCCTGTGTATTATATATACGTATCTCACGTGACTAGCACATGGAGATAGATCCGCCATCTTCATTAAAAGAAGACCTGTCGTTCTGTTGACATTTATATTTGTCCCGTCTTGCTTCTTAATATTACAACTACGTTAAACTGGATAATACTTATCCTCGTTTTTCAGTAAAAGAAGGTATCCTTCATCTTTCCAATGAAGTTTAACAGCCGTGGAAAGTCAGACGCTACTTAAGGAACCGGCGCCCAAAAGTATCCATTGTGTCGTTCCGTGACAAATTGGCAAAACTCCTCCTGAAGTGAGAGAAGTGAAAGCAATAGATGTTACTCTGCAGTTTTGGAAAATTTGTTCTGAAGGTTTTTTGTCTGAAGACAGTTCGCAGCGCTGGAGTTCACCTTACCTATTTGGTAAAGTCGTAACACAAATTGTTGAGGAACCTCCTTGCCACGAACTTCTTGTTTTATTAGTCTCTCTTTAAACGCTGACTGACCTTAAATTTATTTCTGGTGTCCTTAGTATGAACACGAGCGCTAGCTCTAGAAAACCCTCAAGTGATTAAAAACATGCAGATGTTTTTACAGTAGACAGTATCATTTCTCGCTCTCACGATTTCAAATACCGAGATAACAAAGCCATGCATAATTCTTTTTATGTCACCTTACATGCAATCCTATTAAGAGCGCGTCAAATTCAGTACACGCAAAAAATCACAACTGATAAAAACGTAGAAATGGCGAGATTGGCGAGATTCCTACGAGGCTCCCTAATCGGTGTTCAAAGTTACCTCTCCTTTGCACTGATAAGAATTAACATAAAATTTAAGATATGCTTATTAATACTGAACGGCATTGCATGTTTACGTTTCTTTTAAAAATAATCTG